CTGCCTTCAATGAATAACAAATCCGCTATACAGCATTGCAGGAGCGTTAACAGACACTTCAAATTACTTCCTTTTACGAAGAAAATCAAATTTTCACCTTTTATCTTCAAAAAAATTTAAAAAATTCATGAATTTTCTAAGTGACTACTATGGTACTTTACCAGAACTATGGTACTTTCAAATGTTAAACGAAATTACGATTCATGCTAAGGCAAGCATTTTTATTTGCTAAACCCGTCTCCAAAAGAATGCCGTTGGCAAACTTACTGCTGCATAGAAATCGCAGTAGCAGGTAGCCTGCCAAGCAAACTTTGGTTTTCAAAAGATCCTAGAATTCTCTAAAATGTCCTGCATACTAGCTGCCTGGTATTGAAGGTGAAAGCTTATTTCAGATTTTGGTTCTTTACACTTTCGGTGGCATTCGAAAGAGCAGTTGTGAAGCTTTTTGATTCTAGATTTATAAGAATTACCGGGTCAGACCTGAATTCAAAAAGCACACACTCTGAAAGTTGTTTTCAAATTTTGGCTTTGTGCATGACCGTATACTTCATAAAATTTGCAGCTTCCAGCTTTTTAAACTTAGGATTTAGATCCGAGATTGAAAAGACGAAATGAAGAGTAACCAGGAAGCGGATACCAGTTTCTGGGGTTCACATTCAGCAGGAGTCTTTAGTTACAAAATTCAAGTTTCACAGCTCTAATAATTCGGAAATACTTGGTGTCGCATAAACACATATACACACACACACACACCCAGGGGCTCGCATCAATTCGTTCATACATCCTGATGCAGCATAAAAACGCATCAGCAGTGAAATAGAAATTCTTATTGCAGAAGGAGCTGCAAAATTTACCTAAAACTGCAAGTGACAGTTATTTGGCTGTTTTGGATTTTGGTAGCAGTGATGGCAAGAAATTATGGAAAAGTTCAGATGACAGGTGAAAAATTTTACATAAAATCAGCACCACTCCAATTAAAGCTGCTGGGACAGTGTGCTATCAAAGTAAATTAAGGTGCTTTCTTGTAACTGGCAAAAAATGACAACGAAAAAATCTTTAAGACGCAAGAAAGAGTTTTTAGCAAAAAATAAGTTTTATGAGTTTTACGCTGCGGCAACCATGCGAAAAATATACATTGTGACCTGCGTACCTGTGGACTGGATTTTTGTACAGGGTTTTAAAGAAAAGCTAGAGAGCTGAAATTTTTGAAGGATCTTCTTGTTCATTTACAACTCTGTAAATTTAA